GCATCAACACAGAGGGCTCCACAGAGCCGTTTTTCGAAGATCCATCTAGTAAAAAAGTTATTTAAATTTACATTTTCAAGGCTCGGTCGGTCAAAATCGGGGCTTTGGCATCACCTTAATAGAAATCGGGAAAAAACCTAGTTTTGAATTGATTTCTGTAAATCTTATGTTTTTGTAAATTATTAACATATTGCAAGTATCTACGATATACTACGATGATACTACGATACTTTTTCCGATGTATCGATACATTAAGAATAAATACTTTATAAATATCGATTCTTGAGTATCACATTCATCTTCAAACATGATTGTTGATTCGTCATCACTGCCGTCATTTGAAAGCAACAATTCAGTTGCATCGTCTTCGTCTGCAAAAAAATATTGCAAATTATGATTGTACATGTGGGAGAGAGGATTGCTTATAGGCCGGCAGATAGTCATAGATTTCATAAATTCAACCCTTTCATTGGCATAAAATTGCGAGTTTACTCTTTTCATTCTTTTTAGATTTGAAAACATCTTGGCAAATATTTATGACCTGGACTTGAGGTGATTTGATAATAATGAAAATAAAAATATTACCTTCGCAAATAAGGCTTTCATGAGGAGTATCTAATTTTGCAAATGCTTTGACAAAATTGGAACCATTGTCAGTGTCTGTAGCAATAATTTTCTCGGGAGTCAAGTCATATTTTGCATTGATTTCTAAAAGTATTTCCTCTATTCGAGTATATGAGTGAGTTCCTTTGAACCGTTTACAGGCTAAAACTGCTGACTTTTTTTTGTAAGTAGCGTCGTTGATCTATGCACAAGAAATATGAGAAAAATATCCTACTTATTTTTATAATAATCTGTGCAAAAAATTACCCAGTGTATAGAGTAGGGTGGGCAGTTTTTAGGCTTTTTTCTAGAATCGATTGGTAATAGTGATTTTCTGTTAGTTTTATGTATAAAATGAAAGCTCGTTCAAGGCAGGCGCGTACAAATGATTCTTTCTGTCTCCTCAACGTCGATCAATATTTTTTTTCGCTGTTTTTTGCTCAAATTCGCCTTTTTTCACTCTACCACGCGTCAAAAATGGAAAAATTATGTTTTGCGATTCTAAACTCCGCGATTCATCAACTTATAAGCTAATCAACATGTTTCAACCACCACCTGAGCTCAGAATTAAGATATGAAACCACGTAATGCGTATAAAGCCGGGATTTTGGCTGTTTTTTGCCCATTTTACCCGATTTTCGACTACGTGGTCGAGGTCGATTTTTAAATTCAACACCATCACCCGCGGTCTCTTTTTTTTCATTGAGATAAGTACTGAAAAGAAAAATGCCCACTGAGGTGATTTTTAAAACAGGAAAAATTTGGCGCGAAAACAGGATTTTTATGAATTTCTTAAAAAAATGGATCGTTTCAACGTTTACCTGCAGTTTAATTATTGTGTTATCTTAATGCAAAGTGCATCATCTAAAAGTACTCTTTTCAACGAGAAATTTAAAAAAAAAAGAGTTTTCTACGATCATTTTAGCGGCCTGTAGGTCGTTTTGAAGATACCATTAACCAAATGCCACGTTTAGCTAAAATCGGCGCGATTTTCTGAAGTCGACGCGATGTGAGGCATCTTACGTATATATTCTATGGTATCTTCAAAATGACCTACAGGACGTTAAAATGATCGTATATGCTGAATGGCTGCGTAAATAGCGAAATGCTCACGATAATACGCTGGCCAAGCACATTCCTTAGAGGTCATTTTTTTAGAAAAGAACGCGAGAGGTTGCCAGGTGTTATTAACTAATTGTTGAACGCAAGATCCAATAGAGTGACTAGATGCGTCTGTAAAAAGAGCGAGCGGCGCTTCGCTGGGGGGATGCACGAGAAGAGTAGCTTTAATAGAAGAGTAGCTAGGCGTCCATGCGATCGGCTGAGAACCTTTGAGTAGAGGTTTACTAATTGCGTCGTGTAAAGGAGCTTCGTACTCGGAAGCATGTGGAATGAATTTGCGATAAAAATTCAACATTCTGAGAAATCGACGAAGATCGTGCGCAGTTTTAGGCAAAGCATAATTTTGTATCGCTTCAACGCAATCACGAGGAGCCTGGATTCCTTTTGCTGAGATCATGTATCCGATGAAAGTGATTTCGACTACATTAAAGACAGACTTCTCAACGTTGATAACAAGCCCGTATTTTGAGAGACGTTCAAAGACTGTACAAAGGTGAATTTTATGCTCAGCTGAAGAACGCGAATAGATGAGAATATCATCCATGTACACGAAGCAAAATTCCAGTCCGTCCATGAACCGTTGGAAAGTTTGTCCAGCATTTCGAAGCCCGAATGTCATAAAAGGAAATTTAAAAAGTCCAAATGGAGTAACGATTGCTGTCTTGCAAATATCGTCTTTAGCCACAGGAATTTGCTGATAAGCTTTTACAAGGTCGATTTTAGAGAAAATTTTGCAACCGTCGATGAAGGAAGTCGCATCGTGTATGTGTCGGACAGGATCACGATCGGGAATGGTTCTAGCATTCAATGCTCGAAAATTGCCACAAGGTCGCCATCCAGAGACACCTTTCCGTGCTAAATGTAGAAGAGATGACCACGAGCTTTCCGAGGGACGAGCTGTGCCTGATCGTATCATATCGTCGAATTCACGTCTCGCAACTAAAAGTTTATCAGAGGATAATCGTCGAGCTTTGCAAGTAACGGGTGGTCCCGGAGTCGTACGAATATGATGTACAGTTTCGTGTTTAATCTCACGAGGTAAACCGGCTGGGTGCGTTATAGCGGGAAATTCGGAGAGTAAGTTGAAATAATTAGATGTCAGGCTGACAGCTTTGACGTTGCTTTGTAACGAAATTTTCGAAATTCCCGGTGCACGAAAACCGGTAACAGCATCGATAATGGCTTTAGTTCGGCAATCAGGTAAGAGGTTATAGTGAGCCAAGAAATCCGATACATCTCCTCTCTCTTTATTTCTATATAGAACCCTTTTTTTTTAATTTCTTGTTGAAAAGAGTACTTTTAGACGATGCACTTTGCATTGAGATAACACAATAAATAAACTCCAGGTACGGGTTGAAACGATCCATTTTTTTAAGAAATTCATAAAAATCCGGTTTTCTTCGAGCGCGCCAAATTTTTCCTGCTTTAAAAATCACCAGTGGGCATTTTTCTAGTCAGTACTTATCTCAAAGAAAAGAAAGAGACCGCGGGCGAGTAAGAAACTCAATTATTTCAAACTGAATAAGTAGTTAACTGAATATACAGTACACAATACACAACACAATATGCAATGAATAATAAACTCAAATCAATGAACAATGTACAATAAACTCAATGAGTATAGATTTCAATTTTCCAATATTCCAAGCGGACGAAGTGTATGCGTGTATACAACTGGTCACTTAAACTGCTTGGTTGGTACTGATAAACGTTTATTCACATTTAACACATCGAAGCCGAATTCCAACATTCGATTAGGATGCGACGACGTATTTACATATATATTACATGCTCTATACACACTCTTACACAGATCTTACTTGCACGCTCCTTTTGCAAGGTTGTGGACGCAAGCTTGGAGCTCTTCGCCACCCTTGCATTCTTAAAAAACAGGACTTTTCTGTCTGGATTACCACTTTGGAGGTTAGTAAAAATTTTTTTCATCATCTCGTCGTCGTCGGCGAGACCTGCGCAGATCACCTACATATTGCCAAGGAAGGGGATCTATCTTCAAGGAACGAAAATTAGTGCTGTTTGTTTACTTTCTCTGTGCGCCTTTTCCCGTCTGCTGTTTTGTTGACAATTGACTATGTGATGAGAGTGCTTGTGTGGTGCGCGAGTTCCGATGTAAGAAAAGTGTGTAATGGTTGATCTAAATTGAAAATTCAACATCTCAACGATTTATCTTGTGTTTTGACTGTATTGTGACATTTCCTTGTGGCCAATGGTGTCGTGTGGGCGTTGCAAGAGGATAAGAGACATAAGCGGTAATCTAGATACTGTCTTCTGCCCTGCGTGTGGGAAGCTTTACCATCCTAGGTGCCTCGTACGCCTCATGGAAGACAAGCCACTTGTTTGCTGCTCTCGACTTGCCCAATTAACTGCGACGAAGGTGAACTCTTCAATATGGCAAGTGCAGCTAAGCTGAAGGCCCAATATGACGCCTTATTGCACATCATTCAGGAGAGATTTGACACGGTAGAAGCACTCTTCACGACCGCCAATAAAAAAATCGAAGAACATCAACCCGCTTTGGCTGCTGTGTCGTCTGAGGTTGGCCACATCAAGAAGATCATTACGGCGGAGCGTCCCAGCACCGAGCTCCACATACAGGGCGGGTCCCGCTCGGCGCTCCAGAGCACGCCTGAAGCCTTACAGGACTTCTTCGGATCGGCTGTGGACCTGCTCGGAATCCCTCAGGTTCTTGACGACATCCTCGAGTTTAGAGTCTTTGGCGACGACCCGTGGACCCCTGGTGCGGGTGACGCTGAGGTCCGCTCTATGAGCAGCTGCCGGGGCCCATGTATAAACTGTTTCAGGCTGCAAAGGCGCGTGGTAGAGAGCATAAGTACGCTGCTGTCTGGTGTGATGACGGGCGACTGTTCGCGCAAAAGGCGGCTAACGCGGAGCACATTGAGATAATCACCGAGGCCAACTTGGCCAATATTGCATGACTTCAAGCCGAGCATCGGCACTTGCAGTCCAGCGCAAGGGAGCTACACTCTCGAATTCGGGTGATGCAAGTCAACGCATACTCCCTGCGCAGGCAAATAGCTGTCATCAGGGACAAGATGCTCGCATTATAGGTCGATGTGCTGTTGGTCTGTGAGACCTGGTTCACGCTGAATGTCGACTCGCGAGCGGTGGAGGTACCTGGCTACCTACCATTTATTTCGCAACGACCGTGGCTTGCCCTCGACGAATCCCGATCAGGACTACATGTTTGGTGGTGGTGTTGCCTGTTACTTGCGCAGCGATCTGCCGGCCAGGATCATCTATAACCCTAAGATAACTTGTGTCGATGAAAACGAGGTCTTGGTGATCAAACTAAAGTTCAAAACTAAGGAATTACGTTTGTCGATCCAGATCTGACGGTACATCATTTTCATATCCGCGCAGAATGCTACACGATGCCGTCGCCATCTCAAGAGAATGAGCCAGATGTCCCGTTGGAGTTTGGGACCTCGATGGGTGACGTCGTTTAGACTAACTCCAGACGATGTCGGTCGTGATGCGTCGAAGACCACCCTTAGGCGGGGCCCGTGGTCACCATGTTGCCAGATCCCGTGGTGGGGGATGTAGTGGACTGGGCGATCCCTCAGTGTCCTCTCCTCGTGAGAAAGCCTGACCATGTGCCCTGAGTCTATGTAAGCCTGCATGAATTCACGATAGGCAGCTGCGAAGGTGGCATCTCGGGCCATGCGTCGATGGATATGGGCGAGGGACGCGCACGCCGAGCTCTCGCTGGACCCGAGCAATCGGCCGGCGTCCGGCTTCAAGGGCAGGCGGACCACGTACCGGCCTGAGCGATCTCGATGATGCTCCATGAAGAGCTGCTCACAGCGTTCGTCGGCAGGTGAGGGCCGATGCACGAGTGGAAGGTCCTCGACTTGCCAGAATTGCTGCAGCACTGCCAACAACTGTCGATGCCAAGGAGGCTCGGAACCATCAGCGGTCATGGCGAGGCACTGATGGGGCCGTTGATCGCCTGGACCACAGCTCCGTCCCCAGATCGTCCACCCAGCAACGGTGTTCTGCGCGATGAGACCGTCACGACGTTGCAGCCCGGTCATCATGAGGCGCTGTGTTACTCCAGCTCCAAGTAGCAAGTCCACAGGACCGGGATGGCCGAATCGAGGATCGGCTAGCTTCAATTGACTCCACATGGATGACTCGTGCGGGGCGACTCGGTGGCATGGCGTCGTGATTCCCAAGCGCTTCAGACACAGGGCTCTTATCTCGATCGGTGATGAATGGCCAGGCAGGTGAAGGTGTAGACGAGCAGTGCGCTTCGACCTGCTGGCGATGCCTCCACCTACGGCGGCTACGGCTGTCCGATCGTCCTCAGTGGGAGCCTTCAATCGGGCGACGATCCGATCAGAGATCAGGGTGACCTCTGAACAGGCATCCAGGAGCGTCCGGACGGGCAGGGGCCTGCTGTCGGGCGCGCTGATCATCAGTCTCGCGGTGGGCAGCACGGTTAGTCAGGACGACTCTGTAGACTGCTCGTCGCCGGTGCCAGACCCCCCAGGGGCAGCGTTCTCGAGTGTCGCAAGGGACGTTTGACGGTTCTTAGCAGGTGGCCCAGACTCGTGGCTCGAAGCGTTTCGCTTGCGTGATCCTTCATGAAGCAGGGTGTGATGAGTCGCTCCGCATGTCTGACATGTCGAACGCGATGGACACGCGCGGACTGCGTGACCTGGCCGCAAGCAGTTGAAGCACAGACGCCGTTGCATGACAAGCTCTCTCCGCTCGTCTGAATTCATGCTGGTGAAGCCGTCGCAGTGCCCGACATAATGTTCACCTCCGCAACGGACGCAGTCTTGGCGGCCCTGTCGAGTTGCGTAGGTGCGCGCAGGCCTGTGATCGCTCGATGAGGCAGACTGTCTCGTCGTCGTTGCCGCTCCTGAGGAGCACGCAACAGCCATGCGGCAGCGACTGCTCAGGAAGGTGTTGAGGTCGTCGAACGAAGCCAGGCGATCGCCTTTCCTGGCGGCAGGGTCAGCGCTGTTTTCCGCATCGCTTCTTTCCAGGTCAGCCTCCCAAGCTTGACGGGTAGCGAGGTCCATGCAGGACGCGGCGATAGAGATGAACCAGGCGTCCCACGTGTCGACTGGGCACTTCAGTGTTCGCAGTTGGTCGCGATGCCGGCTCAGGGTGTCGATGAGCTGTTGGAACGCCTTCGCTGAGGGCTCTCGGAGCGGTTTCAGGGAGCGCAACGCAAGCAGGTGCTCGTGTACCAAGAGTCGACGATTTTCGTAGCGGCTCTCCAGCAGTTTCCACGCGGTGTCATAATTGTCGCCAGTGAGCTGCAGCGAGTCAAGGGCCGAGCGGGCATCGCCTCGGACAAGTGTCTTCAGGTAGAAGAGGCGCTCCACGTTGCTCAGGTGTGAGCTCTGGTGGATGAGAGCCTTGAACAAGTCTCGGAACGACTCCCAATCTTCGCGCCGTCCAGAGAAGTCAGGGACGTTGATCTGCGGCAATCGCGAGTGCGATTGGGCGGAGGCTGGGGCTTCCGGGTGCGGCATGACACGCTCAGGTCGACGAGGCTCAGGCTGTAATCGACTCTGAACGTCGTAGAGGACGCCTGTTGCGTCGATGTACTGTCCTTGGACCAGGGCGTAGTTGGAGGCTCGATCGTAGCTCGGTTCGTCATTCTCCGGATCCATCAGCGCCAGGTGGTTGCTTAGAAAGTCTTCCCAGTAGCCTTGTAGCAGCTCCTGTCGGGCCTGAGGTCTCCCCAGTGTCCAATCATCGTGCCCGGTCGACTGAATGGTCCCACACAGCTCTGTGATCACGTTGATCAGCTCGATCTGGGTCGTCACTAGGCGATTACTGTCGCAAAAAGAAGAGAAAACATACGACTTATTAGTGGTAGACTCGACGCCGGATCGCAGCGGAGTACCATTCACTCTCATGCACTCCCTCACTCTCGATCAAGTACGTGGGCGGTTGTCACAATTGCCGCGGCTACAGGCGGATCGATGCTCGAAGCGAGCAGAAACTACGCACCAGCATCGCGAGATTCACGCAGTTGCACTCGAGCTGGCGGAACTCGGTTCGGCGCCAGCGAGCTGATGCACACAGTGATTGACGGCACACTCGATCGAATGATGATGCGAGCCCACGAGCCGAACCACGGTCGTCCTTGTCCGATTAAGCGAGGAACGACTGCCACGCAGGCTAGACAGGTCGTTGATCATGCGATTCGCGTCGCGTGGCCGGCCGGCTCGCCACGTCGCGGCATGGCAGTCGAACGAGCCCACACACATAAGCATCGCCACGCGTGCAGACACGCGCGTACGAGTGGCTCCCAGGCACCTACACACACACACACACACATAGGCGTCGCGTCGCCACACGTGCAGACCACGCGTGTACGAGTGGCTCACAGGCACGCACATACACACCACACACACACACACACGGGCATCGCCACGCATGCAGACCACACACACACGGGCGGCTCCCAGGCACGTGCACACACGCGTGTACGAGTGACTCACAGGCACGCACATACACACCACACACACACACACGGGCATCGCCACGCATGCAGACCACACACACACACGGGCATCGCCACGCATGCAGACCACACACACACGGGCGGCTCCCAGGCACGTGCACACACGCAACACACGTAGGCAGGCATAACCACGCATGCGGACCACACGCACGCACAAACACACACACACCGCACACATGCGAGCATCGCCACGTATGTCGACCACACACGCACGAGCGGCCCATACGCGCGCACACACACAGGCCACACACACGCACAACAGGCCCTCGTCGCAGGACAGGTGTGTACGAGTGAACACGCCCGCACGCGAGTCGCGAGCAAGATGGCGCGTAGCACTTTTTCTCTGCTCCTTGCGCGCTGCAATGCACGTGCGGTCTTCCACATCACTAACTTACCCTTGTGGCATCATCTTTCTTGTTATCCGGCTCAGAAGGACCAATGTTGAAAAACCGATAAGGCCGAGGGTTGGGATTGAACGCCGGCTGGCGTTGAATGACGACGCGGTCGATTTGTTGTAGAATAAATAATCTTCTTTATTGTTGGGCCGTTGCTCGGCAAATAATGGGCGTTACAACGACGGAGTAATTCTCTTGGTGACGCAGCACCAACAATCGAATACAACACCAACTTGGTGTAACAAAAGGAAAACACAAGAAAACTAGTCGATGATCGGTGCGGAGGACACGTCCGTCCTGCTCGGCGGCTCGGCGAAGACTGAGCAGTGGCGCCGACGCGAGACCGTCGTAGACTACTGTGCATCACCAACGCGCATCACACCTGCGGATGGCGCGGCGTTTTGAATCCTTCGATCCTTTTATTCTCAACACACGGGCACGACTACTTCTGCTTCGACTATTTTGTCGGATCACCTGCCGTGGTGCTTGAGCCACACTTGTTGCATACATTTGTAAATTTCAATAAATCGCTGTTTAATTGCCAACTTAATGCTCGCCTCTCCCTTCTGCATGCTCCCCTCGGCTTCAGTCAACGAAGACCACGGGAGCAGAGAAATCAGCCAAGGGCATCGTCTACGGAAGAGCCGGCGAAGAGGTTAGCTTATAAGTTATTTAGGTGGTCGGTCGCTTGGCCGTGTGCACGATTGCGTCATCGTGCTCGAGCGTGCATAGAGATTGTATGTGTGCATGTAAGTGTCACCACAGCGGCGGCAAGCTCAGTGTGTGTGTGTGTGTGTGTGGATCAAACGGCACACTGCCGTGTTTCATTGTTCAAATAACACGCAGGTGTACGGCGCGGCGTAGACGCGGTCTCGTAAGTTAGCCACGTGGCTACAGGTCGACCAGCAGAGCACGCGCGCGTCGGCCGAGCTCGTTCGACCACGCGTACGCAGCGACGGCTATTTTGGCCAAGCAGTAGAAGAAAGTCATGAACGTAACCTATTGCCGCGTAGCAAAGGTTCAGCCACGGAAGGCAAACAAGAACGCCACCAGCGCACCTGGTGGCCAATGTTGAAAGTTAAATAAAGTGACTAGATTTTGAAATTGAATATCGTGAGTCATAATTAATTCACCATCGTGTTGTAAATTCCCCAGATTCCTTCTTTTCGGAGAGTAGAGTAATTTTGCAGAATTATACGGATTTTCGCGGAGTTCGTCGCGAAACAAAATTATGCGATTTCCACGGCCAAAAATCGAAAGGTGAGTCATTGGGGCCAACAGCTCGGCCCAAACTCGGCGGAAGGCCCAGAACCTCTTCGGAGAGGTCAGCGTGAGTACAAGGGGTCCCAATAATAAAATTCTTGCCGACGGCATTTGAGCTGGGCCTTACTCGATAAAATTGATTTGCATCGTCGTAATTATTACCGAGCAGATGGTTGCCTACCTAGAGCATAATCAGTTGCTGTCAGCAAGGCAATCCGGCTTCAGAAGGCACCCAGACGGCGCTGTTGAGGGTCATCGAGGACGCTTGAAGAGCCGTCGAGATCGGGCATGTGACGATCATAATTCTATTCAATTTCAAGTGTGCGTTGGACACGCTTAACCATAGTGTGCACTGATGCACTGCGCTATGCTCATTCCTATACGACCGATCTCAGGCCGAGGCCGGCCGTGATGGCCCCGCCTCTGACTTTCTGCCTCTGACAACTGGGGTACCACAGGGATCTTCTCCAGCACCGATCTTCTTTACTGCCTTCATCGATTCGATCATCAGCGCCCTGTGGCTCGTCCTGCATGCTCTTTGCTGACGATCTGCAGATTTACCTGTCCGGCCCATCTGAGGACCTTGATCCCATCCTGCCAGGATGAATAGCGATGTTCAGTCTGTTGTCGAGTGGAGGGTGCTCTGCGGCCTGCTGCTTACCGTGCCAAAAACCCAAACCATGATCATTTCCTCTGATCAGCGACGAATGCGCTTGCCCGTACGGCCTGCGTGTGCCGATTTTTTTGAGCGGTGAAGTTGTGCCATACCAGAACAAGATCCGCAATTTTAGCCTCATAATTCGTCAGAATCTGTCTTGGGACAGCCAGATTAGTGCGGTGTCTTCTCGCGTCCACGGCGTACTACACCGGCTGCGCTCGCGCTCTCGCTTGCTGCCCACTGCAATCAGACGTCTTCTGGCCTCTGTGTTGGTGGTGCGGTTTGACAGACGAACTCGAGACCAAGATGCTCCGCCTGCCCAAAACTACCATTAGGTTCGTGTTTGGCCGCCGTGACGACCGAATGCTGCCTTATCAGCGGTCCCTTGGATGGTTCACCCCGTCTTCGAGACGAGGTTACTTCGGCCTCGTGAAGATGCATCGGATACTGCGCTCAGTCGTTCGGTACTCGGCCTTGGTTGACTTCACCAAGGTGGCATCAGTGATCTCTTGTATCACAACACTGCTCTTCGATTCTGGCAGGTCGACACGGACGTGATGTGGAGCATTCGACCCATGAAGCCGGAGAAACTCCTGTCTGCACCGAGGGCAT